GGGAGGCGGCTGGTGCCCGGCATCAGCCCGCCCGCGGGGAAGAAGCGTGATGAGAACCGAGCGGGCTCGCCACAGCTCCCGCGGGGCTTCCCCAGCAAAGCGAAGCGCCTGGCGACTAAAGACGGGCTGAGCATCCCGCCCAACAAAGCATCTCTCTCCCTCCAGTTTAAGCTCGTTGGGACGTTGAGGCTTTGTGAGCACCGGGACTGCAGGAGCGCGCAGGGCGCCCGACCACACAGACGCGCGGCTGTCTGTGCCGCGCCGGGGCGAGCGCTCCGGCGGGAAGCGGTGCGCGCGCCTTTGCACCGCGGAGCCAACGAGTAACCTTCAAATCCAATGCGTTTCCCAAATTCAAAGCAGCTAGCTGCCACGGGTGTGCTAGTTAGGAGTCTGATAGCAACAGACACTCTAAAGCTTGCATGCCTAGGCCCGTGCTCCCCAAACTTCTCCTCAGCATGGACCCTCCCTCCCAACCCGCTGTCCCGCACCCCCATTGGCTGATGTTGTGACCCCCAGTTTGGGAACCGCTGGCCCAGGCTTTGAGGCAGGGCTGATGACCAGGGATCTGGATTTTCTGTTCACTGCAGGAAAACACGGATTTTCTCATTTTAAGCACAAGAGCCTGGATTTTTCTACTTTAAAGAAGAAACACACAGGAAACTGCGGGTTTCCCCTTGCAGATTGGCAGAGGGCCAGCCTGCAAGGGGCTGGGGGGCAGGGGAAGGCCCAGATGGGCCAGTGCATGGGCTGAGGCCCGAGGCCAGAAGGAGCAGCTGCAGGGCCTGGGTGGGGAGCGCAATGGATCCACAGGTGGCTGGTAGAGGGGGCTGCCAGGGTTGGCTCACACACTCCCAGGGAGTCATGGGGGGCACAGGTGGGCTCAGGCTGCCCCCTTCAGGCCCCCGCAGCCCAGCAGGTAGGACCTGGCACAGCAGAGCAGGGAAGCTCAGTGCTGCTGCCAAGCCCCATATAGCTATAGCGAAGCACCCCCTACCCACCCAGCAGCAGTAGGGTTGGTGGCACGGGCTTGTGTCTCTTCTTGCTGCTGGGTGGGAAGGGGGCACCTCGTCATGGAGTTTGGGGCTCGCAGCAGCAGCAACAAGCTTCTTTGCCTTGCTTCGCTCTGCCTTGCCGCAGGGGGTCCCAATCACTGCACCACAGAGGCCCTCAGGGGAGGGCAGCAGGGCAGGAAGCCCTGAGCCTGCAGCAGGCAGCCTGCCTCCCCCGCCATGGGCTTCACTCCAGCCATGCTGCCCATGGGGGAGGGGGAGGGGGAGCTGGCCTCAGTGCTCAACACCACTGCAGCAGCCACCACATCCCACAGGCAGCAGACACGGCTTGGGGTGCTGCTGTGGGGAGAGGGGACTGCGGACCCAGGTCCCTGACCCCATAGCCCTGGCAGCTGGGGGGCCCTCTGGCATGGCTGGGGGGTGAGGGGCTGTAGGTGTGGAGTGAGGGTCATCAGCAGGGCCCAAGGGGCTGTGGGTGGGGAGTGAGGGGCAGTGGCATAGGCAGGGAACCAGCATATCAGGGCTGCTCAGTACCACAATGAAGGGGGTCAGGGGGGCAGCCACAGCAGCACCTGTGTCCTGGTGAGCAAAGCATGCAGGGGGAGCTCTGATTTTCCATGATAAAAAACCAAAAATCAAATGCCAAACTGTATAGGTATTTAGAATTTATTTTATTATAGTGATTGAGACACTGGTAGGTTTCCAAATTGCTTTAAAATGATAAATATATCAATAAAACATTGTGTTCAATCGATACCTATACATACATATATATGTATACACATTCATATATACATATACAGGCAACCCCCGCTTAGCACTGTTTTGCTTAGCGCTATTTTGCTATAATGCTCATTTTAAATTGATACCTGATTTCACTTAGCACTCAGCGAGTTTTGCTATAACGCTTGCGGTCACCAGCTTGGGTCATTAAAAACAACTGTGGTTGCCATCTTGGGTTGTCAAGTACTTTCAGTTTCGCTTAACGCTCATTTCACTTAATGCTTGGTTTTTCAGGAACCAATTAAGAGCGCTAAGCAGGGGTTGCCTATATGGTGTGTGTGTGTGTGTGTTTACACACAGACACACATATATATATTAGGGCTGTACAAAATTTCACCAGCTGTTTTGTTTCAACGCTGTTTCGACTCATTTCAAGCTCAAAACAAAATCAAAATGAAACAAAGGGCTTTGAAACAGCCTCAAATGAAACAAGGGCAGTCAAAACATTTTAAAAGTTTTGAAACGTTTTGAGTTTCGAAGCTGAACCTGGGCTTGCCTGCAGGTAAACAGAAAGTAAGGAGAGGAGGAAGGCGGGGGGGGGAGGGAAGGACATTGACTGACATTGACTGTGTAGCTGGCCCGTGACTGTGATCCCTCCCTGAGGTCCCTTCCAATCCCAGTGCTCTGGGGCAGGAATTGAAAAACAGCATAAAAGGCAGTATTGTTTGAACTGGCCTGCTTTCTGCCTTGGGGTCAGTTAATGAGCTATCTTCCAGAAGCTCAGGAGTGTTAGATAACAAAGGCTACTACTACCATTGATTTGATTTCCTACTTGCTAACCTAGCAAGTGGGATTCTGCAATACCTTTTGCTTTCTTTCTAGACCCTTTTATTTTTTTATTATATTCATTGATTTATTCTTTTCAATTTCATAATTATATTGCATTTTATACTATAGAATTTATATAGGAAGGCACATATACATTTATATATTTTTATAAAGGCAAGACACTATGAAGCATGGTGGAAAGGCAGCTGGCAAGCCTTCAGGGAGGGGCAGAAGAGGGGGTAGAGGGAGAGGTGTAAGTTTCCCCCCCTCTCCCCAAACTGCGACACAGCCTCTTTGCTACAACAAGCAGGCATAAGGCTTCCACTAGTACAGGCAGCAAGGAGAGGGGAGCAATGCCAATGCTACTGCCTGTACCTGAGTCTACATCCCCTCCAAGAGCACCAGCCATAATCCCTCACCACCATGACAACAAGCACTAGCACCAGCATGACAGTCTCCTCTACCCCCATTTCACTTCCCATACTGAGCCTTCCAGTGTCAGAGGAAGAACTGGAGCTGGATCTGAGTGCCTAGCAAGGGAAATTCTGGGGAAGGAGGGGCAATCATCTGAGTCTACACCCCTCAAGTTTCCCCTACAGTCAGGTCTCCTTCCCCAGAAGGCACTTCAGAGGAGGCTGAGGTAGAGGCTG